TGTGTTTAGGTACTTCGCAACACTATATTGTTGATCAGCATAGTTGGTTACACCCAAACCAACTTGTTGAAAGTACTTGATGGCATGTGAGCAAGGCATGTGGTAGATGGACCATTTTTCACAAGAGCATAACCTTCTAGATTCATTTACAGTATGTACATTATTACCTCGATTTTGATGGATAACGGTGCGAACTTCAAAAACATTTCTTTCGCTATCATACTGCAAAAATGAATGCCAATGCGCTCGCCATCTATATTTCTCAAATCTTTTCATAGGTACTGGCATAGATTCAACACCCTTTTCCATCAATGATGTTGCAGCTGCAGACCTTTCAACAAACCTCTCCGCCATCTGTTGGAATGACAACCGCACCATGGCTGTGACAGGTAATCCTCTTGCAGACTTCAATAACCCGTTGAAAGACTCTGACACATTTGTAGTCAAAGTTCCCCATCGTCTGCCACCATCCGCATACAACGTCCACTTTTCAGGGTCATGTTGCATTAACCAACGATAGGCTGCCTCGTCTTCTTGCCTGATATATTCCATGTGCATCCGGAATTTATATTGTTGGTGGTCTGTTGTTGTCATCCACATCAAATCATGGAGATCCTTTTTGGGATATGCCTTCTGAAAATTAGCTTTAAAGTGTCTAACATAGTAACGATAATAGGCATAAGGTTCTAGCCATGCAGGCAAGTTCTCTACATAACTTAAGATACCACCGTGCCGATCGGATGTTAGACAAATACCGGAACGTTGTTTCACAACGTGCTCTTTCAAGTGGTTCAAAAATAGTGTCCACATCTCTTGGCTTTCATTGGCACAAATAGAAAAAGCTAGAGGAAATATCTGTCCATTAGCATCGACTGCCACGTCTATCAACAGTTTGATATCGTACTTTCTATAGACATGAGTGCCGTCTATGGATATTAAGGGCCGACAATGCGAAAAACCATCAACTGCTGGTTTATCGCCCATAAAACGTAATTGAACATATATTCTGGTTTACCTGGAATATGCTCAAGCTTCCATTCAACAACCGTCTCGAGGTTAAACTGCTGCAGTGCAGCCATGTACCTAGGGAGATCTACAAATGACTTATCCCAGTTACCATAGACTATTTCAAACGCTCTTTTCTGCCCAAGATATGCCTTTCTTTTAGTAATTGTATGGCCATGTTCCTGGTGGACTGCTGTAATGCACTCTTTGATTTTATGCCTTATGGTTGCTTTGATGTATGGAATAAGAACAAGAGAAATCAAGTCAATATCCAAGTTGAAATGATTCCCGTTGAATGTGTCTATTTCGCATGTGTGGGTGGGAATGTATTTACCCACTTTCCACAGACCTGTCTTCTTCTTCATCGCACACAACATCCAATGACATGGCCAAAACCACCTGCGACAAACAACCTTGTATACAACCGGACTTGACTCCCATACAGTCATCTCACGACACTCTTTTACGTTGTGCATTTTACAAGCCCTACTTAGGCACACTTTATCAGGAAAAAGCATGCCCTTTGCCAACACCATTGGTCTAGACTCATCCCACATTGCTGTCCGAATTTCATCAAAATCCTTTGTTAGAGCTTCCACATCCGGCATGTTTGGCAAGTTATCAAGGTAAGGAACATCCCTTGAATGAAACGACACTTGGGACTCATGCACTCTTCGTCTAGGAGGGGGTGGAGCATACTTTCTCGTCAAATCAGGTCCTTCCTTTCTCATCCTCCTCATCACCATCCTCACGATGAAAGGGTGTATCGTCTCCACATTCATCAGCATTGTTGTCGTAATCACTGTTCTCTTCCTCACTCTGTGCATCTGCCAGATCCCGATTTAATACATCGTCTTCGGGCAATTGAGTGAGTACATTTGCTTCAACTTGCTCGTTTTTACTGCACAATCAACAAATTAATAAGATGCTAAATTTACAAAATACTTTTCATATAGCCATATCACTTCACCTACAAGTCGTAATGTGATGAAATTCCATGATGGACATTTTTATGTAGGTGATAGCTCCCGGATAGACCACTTTGATCGAACACACCAAAACTATGCTCGGTTCATTATTTATAAAACTCATATCCGGCATGTACCCCCTGTTAAATATATGAGCGTTAATAGAAATTGAATACAACAACATTGTACATCATACCACAAAGGAAAATTGTAGCTTACCACTCGTCTTGTGAATTATATAAAGCAGGCGGGGATAAGTTTAAATCAAGAAAAACTCTTTCATCAGGAACATGTCCGGCAAAAACTCCTCCAGAATAGTTAGCCGATGACTGGGGGTTATCCGGAACATGTCCGACCACCTTATTGTTTGGAACATCTTTGACCTTGACGTACATATCCAACATATTTACTATAAGATATTCCCGGTATTCATCCGGAGTCCTCAGAAAATCCCTCAAAGTTTCATCATTGTAGATGTTTAACTCCGAGTAAAAAGTAGCCCCTTGCAGAGTGACGGAATACAGATATCTTCCAGTTACTTTAAGTATCACTAAACGTTTCTTCTTTCCCATTTTTTTGCATAACAACGATATTAATTTATCGTACTCTAGTGTTAGTGGTAATTTAACATGACCCTATGGATATAAACTATACATCACAGAGTTATTCTCCGTCACAACCTCCCTCCCCTCCCCAATATAATGAAACTCTTATTCTACGCTCTTCAGACATTGCGGAAAAAATGCTTCAAAGTTTAACAATAAGAAAATATTGAAGAGAATTAGAATTGTATATGAACGATTTTTTCAAATACTCTGACCACTTTATATAGGAAATGGCTAGTCCTGGAGGGAGAACATTTGGATATATAGTGTTTTCTAAACACACGCTATACATTGAAATAATTGTGATTGTCAGATCACTTATTTGTGAGGCCAAAATCAGAGGATATCGTTTTTTGTTTGTGCGCTATACATATAGCGTGTAACAACAACACGCTATACTTAACGGCAGATGTTATCGTTAATATATAAAGTGTTGTTGTTGCATGCTATATATAGAAATGTCGTTTTTTTAATACACTTATTTGTGTGTTTTGAGTCCAAACACACATTATTTAGGTTCCGGACCCGAAATTACTTCCCCGTGTCAAATTATTTGTCGTATTTTTATTTCATACGTCTCTTAAAAAATTAATAACTAGGAGGTTTGAACAATTATAATAATACCCTATAATTAAGGTGTTTGTAGTCTTCAAGAACATCTTAAAATAGGAAAAAATAAATAAATTTGTCTTGAGCTTTAAAAATGACAAATAATTTAAGATGATTATTTTTAGAAATCACCACAAATAATTTGAGACGGAGAGAGTAGCAAGCATCATTAATTGTTCATTCAATAGCTGATTAATAGCTTGTTTGGCCAAGTTGGAAAAATCAATTTATTTTGAGAAGTGTTTTTTCCAAATGTACTTATGGTGAGAAAAAGGTTTTGTTTGGCTAATTAATTTGAAAAGCATTTTTAAGTAGTGTTTGGCTAAGCTTTTAAAAAAAGTAATTCTAGATATATTTTTTCAAAAGTGTTTCTGGGAAGAAGCTACTTTTTTCTGCTTCTGCTTCTCAAAAGCATTTTTTCTCCTAAAAACTTGGCCAAACACTCCAACTTAGAAGAAAAAAATAATTGCTTTTCAGCTGAGAAGCTTGGCTAAATTAACCTTAGGGTAATAGATCCTAATTAAAAGCTCTGAGCTCACGGCCAAAAGAGTTTTGGTGTATGGAAATAAGAGAAACTATCGTCAAGTCTAACTAGGAATTTATCTCAATCGTGACATTTTAGCATTTTTCAAATTCACTTGTCTCTAATTTTGGCTATGCCCTTGCCTACAAAGATGGTGACGTGTCATTTTTGTCAATGGCCTTAAGAGACGAGGCATTTGCAAACACTTGGGAGTTGGGACGCCATATGGGAAGTGCCAAGCTCTTTTTGTCACCAAGAGATCTGTGTAAGGTTATTTTTATCTATTCAAATTTATACTTTTTTTAATAGTACGTAGTACACAACGTAATAGAATGCTTCGGGTCGTTTAGTTTGGGAAATAAATTATCCATGATTAAATATCTCGGGATTAATTATTCTGAGATTACTTCTCCCTCCCATAAAGGAAAAAAATCACTACAATCCCGGAATAATTAATCACGGGATTAGTTATATCACGATTTTATCCCAAACAAATATGGGATAAACTCATCTCAAATTTAATTTCGAGATTAATTATCTCTTATCCCTCGTACCAAACGAGCCCTTAATAGGACACAGGAGCTTGACAGGTCTTTTCCAAATAAAATCTTTTCATTAATGAAACAGAGAATTCCAGGTTGTTGAATAAAATTCTATCTGCATCCTTTTGACCATGATGACTGGCAGCTGCAATTCTCTATGAGACGAACATTATTGCCACCAAATGTTTGGTTGTAGCTTATTATGATCGACATAAACGTGTAGTCCCTTACTATGTGGCACTTAGTTTAATAAAATTGTGGTTGGATGAGTTGGTTCAATTATTTAATGCTGCCTTAATTGGCGATTTAATGACATGTAAGAGCAAATGACCTTCGGATCTCAAATTGCCACCATTAAGATCCTAGCTTCCTAACCAAACACCAATTACCTACTATCCTATTTACTTGACTTGAGTCTTTTGCAAAACCTTTAAGAAACATTAATAGTTAGAGCTATTTGACTAAATTACTCTTATTTGTTTTTTGATCTCCCAATCTTTGTACTTCTTTTTCTAGAACATCAATTAGACTAGCAAGTTAAAACGGAAAAAATTTAATTAATATTGATTATCTAAAACAAGGATTTTGATACAGTTATTTTTAGCAAAAGAGACAAGTAAATAGAACTGGAAGGGAGTACCCAATAAAGAAGGTTTTTGCATCTGGTGCCACAGAACATAAGGTTTTATGGCTGTTTCGCCGAGAATGGATGTAACTTCTGGCGTTCTCCCAGATAAGGGGCCTGATCTTTTCAAGTCCAAACAGAACACACCATGATTTCACAATATAAGAACGTCAAACATCCAAGTAGCAAAATACCGCACGATATATCCAATACATACAACATCATGCTCTCCAGTCTCGGAAACTTTACTGCTTACCGTCTACTGGCTTATAATAAGTTCAAGCATAGCTCCTACATATTTCGCTACGGGCAAACATCAATAGTCCAAAAGCTAAATCCATTCAACTATTACAGATACTGCTAACAACTCATATGGTGTACTCTAGGGCCTACAATTACATTTCATTTGGAAGCACCATTGCGTAAAAATACCTCAGGCTTAGGGCTTGGGAGCGCACTTGCTCACATGGTCCTTGAACTGTTGCAGCTCAGCCAAAACTTCCTCCTCTGGTCGGTACAACAAATCACTCATGCGCCATATCTGTTTAAGATCCAATTTAACGATTAGAGGCAGATTAAATTATACTGAAAATGGCAGAACATGAATGATTATGAAACCTGTAGTGTGCCGCCTCCGCCAGAGGTCTCCAAGTCATCAGATACACTAACAATAGTCCATGGATCCGATGCATTCCAGTGAAAGTCCACAATTTTATCCCTAGGCCAAACCAGAAAAAATCAGGAACGACAGTAATTGCAACAGTAACGGAAATATGATGGGGAGACACATTATTTACATGACAATTACTTGTCAATAAACAGAACCTGAAAAAGTATCAGAAGCCGATTGCTTGCCCACTCACCCAAGGGGAGAAAAAAAAGACCAAAAAATTTCACCCCTCACAGATTTTAAGTTTCCAGGATATAGTAGTATGCAGTTAGTACTCGTCGCTTAGTTTGTCCACCATCTATATGGTATCATCATTAAGACCAAAAAGTGGCATCAAACTGAGAAATTTGTCCCCTACCCCCGAAAAAAAAAACACCAAGAAGAGAGGAATTAAGAATGTAAACTAAAAATACAGACTATATAGCTATGTTGCGCGGACTCTCCGAAACTGCCGCACCCGTATCGGATTCTCCAAAAATACACTGCTTTTGGAGAATATGACACACACCCGACAACATTTTCGGAGAGTCCGAGCAACATAGCTATATAGTCTATTCTGTGTTTTGTTTAAGTTCCAAGGGAAAAGCAATGTAAGCTTAAAGGATTAGAGCAGCAACCCCTAAAGGTTCTACCTGTGTCCAGCATGCTGAAAAAATAAGCCTGGAGGAGGATCATCTTGCGATTTCGCTTCAGTGTCTGTTGTTTCACCAACCTGGCAAGAAAATTAACTAAAACTATCAGGAGAACGCCTAGGTTATCTAATTAAAAAGATGCATACAAATGAATAATGTATCAATCTAGAACATCTCCATTCTTTGTTGGCCTACTTTATTAAATTTTAAATGGAATACTACTTGCCTATGTTCACATCCAATCGAAAGTTTAACAAATTATATTCACATCCAATTTCGCACTACTAATATATAAATAAGTAATCCATAGTACAACACCGGAGCCACCGGTCAAGAAGAAAATTTTCAAACTTGAACTTAACAGATTATAGAGAATCAGTCTTTACATGATAAAGCATCAAAAGACCGACAAGATATAAATTTGACAAGTGATGATTCCTATGTTAATATATCTATAGTGTATCATGAGCAGTTTTCATTTTGCTTCTTATTCTGCGGCAGTGAAGATATTAGTTGGAATCACAGAAGCCATCTATCATTTAAAATGTCTCCACTCTCCATCGTTTGTGCATTTTTCAGAATCTTTTACAGTTACCATGTATTCTTTTGCAGTCAAACTCTTTAATACCCGAAGACTAGCATTGCTACAGAAGATGACGATCATACAGAAGGATTCACGAATAAAAAACCTTCTCTAAGAAGCTGGATTCCCAGAAGAGTTCAAATACTTGGAACTGGAGGAGTAACACACAAGAGAGAAGGGTAAAGAGAGGAAGAGGCAGAGTCTGACAAAGTGGCAATGACAGGAGAATCTCTACCTTCTCGTAGTCCCAAATATTTAAGAGGCCATCCTCTGCGGAGCTCCCAAACACAGAAGCCCTATCAGGACACCACTGCAAAGGAAAGGTTATCAGTTACATAACGGCAATAAAACGCAGAGATATCCAGTAATCACAATTTGACTGATGAACAAAACACAGCAAATGAAACACCTGAACACAGAGAACTGCGGCTGTGTGATGTTCAAACTTATGGACCGGTGATCCAACCCCATCCGAAGTTAAATTTCGCCGGTCAAACAAGCGTACCGAATTATCAGCGGATCTGAGTTACACATGCTAAGTATTAAACCCTGCCACTAGATAAACATTAAAGAAAAGCACCCAAGCAACGGTACTCACCATAATAGGCAGTATCTAGATGACTGCTGATGAGTGAAATTATATAAAGTTATGATATAACATGGAAGGGACGATTTTTTTTTTCGATGACCGAGAAATCCGTCTGGGGCCGATCCTTTGGACCAACCGCAACCTTCAAAACTCGGTGGATAATGGGCCCGCCCCTCTACCCTTCTCCACTTAAATACCAGGCTTTGTTTTACATGGTGTGGGGGCTTGAACCTGTGACCTAAGACAAAAATCCACCACCCTTTGCCACTTGAGCTAGGCCCTGGGGGCACGATTTTGATTTGCAAGAAAAAAGAAAAGCAAACTTGCAGCAGTACNAATCAAAAATATCTAAAAACATTTTAATAGAAACGGCTATATGATAGATTAGAACTATATTTGGTACAAGACACCATTATATGGCTAGCGTGAATCAAAATCAGTTATCAATACCACATGAAAAGAGCAATAATGCATGAATATCTAGGAAAAGGCTTAACAGGGTCATGCTCAAATGGTATCTATTTTGGTATATGTTGTTTTTGATGAAGATATTCGGCCTATGTTTTCACATATGTTCAAGAAATCATTGACGAGTACACATCTAATTGCATTCAACATATATCTCCACAAGCCTGAGACGAGTTGCACATTTGGCTGTTTTGACATATGATATACTACTTATCTCTACATTATTAGCAATCTCATACACAGATAAAATTTTCCACTAAACAATCAAGAAAGTAATTATCATACCTTCACAACAGGATTATTACCAACTCGAGCATCCCACAATATGAGGCATGAATCATCACCAACACTACAAAATTCCTGTGAACTTCATGAAGGTCAAAAGAAAATTTCAGTTTCAGAAGACTTATCAGATACTTTTAAACATGTTAATCCTGCAATTTAAATACTTATTCACCCTTTCGGCTTAGGATGTCACAGAAGATGTGTCAAGAACCAAATGTTGAAGTACACTAGTCGCAGAACCTTAGCTTATCTTTGGTCTTTCTCAGTAACTCCACAATGTTCTTCGAAAGCGTCCGACACAAGAACTTAAATATCAACGCCAAAACTGATCAATGCAACCTTAATTGTTTCAGTTTCTTAAAAGTTAAAACTACCTAAAATCCGAAGGGGACAAAAGAGGATGTAGCAAGAACATGATGACAAAGCAAATGGGAAGCAACAGGTGAAGCTTAGGTCATCGGGACAGTTTCTTATATTTCTCTTCCTGGAGGATAACTCAGTAGAAGTGGATGATTGACAAAGAAGAAGAAAACTTAAGATAAATTTACCAGCAGAAACTTCAATAACCTGAAAGCCCAAGTATAAACCTCACTCCATCATCAGAAAAAAAAGCTACCTAGACAACCTACCATGGGATCCAGCAAAGAAATTAACCATTCAAGTTGACATTACCTTGAAGGGCAAAACTGAACATCTTCAACTGTATCCTCATGGCCCTGGAAGATACCACGTGGACCAATAGATGGATTATCAGCAGACTTAATTATAGAGCCAGCTGATCCAGCAGGCTTGGTTGCATCTGCTGCCAATGTTGAAATGTGGTCTTGAATGCTCCACAATACCACAGTTTTGTCCTTTCCTGATAGAAAATTACCTCTAATGAGAAGATACTAGAAGTGGCTAAATCACTTTTCTACCACTATATTAAATAAATAGGCTACAGACAACATTGTAAGGAATGCAACATCAGACCAAAAGAATCAAAGTTCTTAATATAATTCTCAATACTTACTCCTACTAGCACAAGTTCAAATTATGAACCTTACATATCCAAAGCTGAATCTGATCAGATGAAGTTTAATTTGGAATACAAGATGGCAATGCAGATACCTGATTCTAAATATAACTAGATGAAAAATATTGACTTTAGACATCTAAAAGAAGAGAACTTCAAACCTCCAGAGAGGACAAAGGGTTCCATTGGGCACAGTGCCAGAGCAAATTCTGCATTGTCTTGATGGCCACTCAATACCTGCAAGGACAATTAATGTTACTCAAAAAGGTTGATCTATAGATTAAGATCTGAGAAATCAAATTGCTGGTGGCAGTTGACAGGCGACGGGATCAAAGATCACCGCACATTCCACAAGCAAAAAGTTATGAAGTCCACCAAAGAGGTAAGATGAGTGATGAACATAATGAAAATCACCCAAAATATAGATCAATCAATAAAAGCTTGAGGAAGAGCACTGACCAGATCCGGACGCGAAGCAGCAGCACCATAGACAGCATGCTTATTGGGCTGAGCTTCAATGTCCCAAATGAGAACCTAGATGCACGAATAACAAACTTGTACGAATTAAAAAGTATTGACATGCCTAAAATAGAAAGACGCCACAGTGACTTTACAAAAGACTGTCACAGAACACCTTGAGAGGCCACTTACTTCAGGACCATCAGTATGGGTTGCCACTATGTTTTTGTTTTGTGGGAGTTCTCTGATTCTGTTAACCTGAAGAGGTATACCAAACAAAGATTCAATCAGAATTCCTCTCCGGAGAACCAAACTGCATAATTTTTTATGCAAGAGACTAATCTTAAATAAGTTTCACGAAGTATTCTTCTTCATAGAATGTCACAAGCAACAAGGTAAATATGTAAAACATCTTTTTTTTAGCTTCTTTATCCAAACTTTGTTTAATTCAAGGACTCCTTAGCATAAAGCACAAAACAACAAATGCAATTAAATCTCAACTTTACCATGACACAGAGAAAGTTATAGGATTGAAAATTCAGCGTGAACTAAAACCTTACACCCTAAAGAGCTAATCTAATGCCCCCAATGCAGTACAATCAAGAAATGGAAATTCAGTAGGAAATTGGCAATGCAAAAAAATATGTAGACAAGGAATGAATAACTATTTTCCTTTTGTTCTCAATAGCATCAGCTACATGCATTATATCACATGAGAAGCATACGAAAGAATAAGCACATAATCAAAACTATTCTATATTCTCAAACATCAAGTATTCTTTCTTCCTTTTTTCATTTTTAATTCTGTGATAGACTTGTATTCCCTGCATTTGTGTTCCTTGTCAAAATGAAGAGTAACATGGTTGGAGCTGGAAGGAATTTGAAAGTAAAATTACAGCTTCTAAAAGATACTTCTAGTATTGTTGAGCATACTTTTCAAGGAAAAAAAAAAAAAAAAAAAAGCATGGAAGTGGCATATCCATTTGGTTCCACGGAGAGAGATCATTAAAATATTAAGCAAATAGAAGCTCTTGTCCTATTTTCTCTAGAGAAAATGTAGGAAACTGTATTATTCTGATTACAGCATGTAGAGAAAAAGATGATACAGCACGGACACGAAAGGAACCTAGTACAACATTTTTGCATAAGAGCAATATCAAATTCAGCAGGCAGCAGCAAAGGAACCTAATACAACATTGCATCAAGAGCCACTGAGCCAGTAGTTAACTTAGTTTGTCTATGAAGTATGAACATGCAGGCTCAGTATTTTTTCCAGTATTCACGCAGTTCTTACCTCTCCTGGGTGTATTATGGTTTTGTACTTCTTCACAAATGGCGAACGTGCTTCTTCATTGAACTAGAACCAAGCCATTAAAAACCAGTCATTATGATTGATTTAGAGTATAACTAAGACAAATTAAATAGTAAAACATCCTTACATTTGCAATGTGATTTTCTGCTGCAACCCTGGGCTTCACCACGTCACAATTAGCTATGATCAAAGTGTTAGGCACTGACTTATCCGTCTGGAAAGAAAAGAGAGTTTAAAAATAAAAGGGAAAAACAGAGATCAGACAAATTACAGAATCCAAAAACTCAACTCAAATACTGCACATGAAATGAAACAATAAATTATCATTAGTCAACACTTTCCAGTCAAAAAGAAAACTATAATAATGACATTATTTGATAATACCAATATCAACAACGATGATAATACATGTGTGGTAAGAGTGCCTTGTCTGCCCAACCTCCCCAAAAAAGGTTAGACACACAGATCTCTTTACCCTAAAGAGTCGGTACTTCTATATTAAGGAAAAAGTGTATTTTACAAAATCTTGGTCGTATGGTAAATCTTTTGGGACATCAATGTAAAATACACAGGAAGACTGAAAAATATTAACCAAAAAGAACAACATGTGCCATGTTAGCTTGCCTGTTCAGAGAGATAGAGTCGCTGGCGGTTTTTCAAAGCACCCTGCTCAACTATTGGACCCCACCTGTTGTCAAAACAGTATAACCGAGAATATGATTGACCATTTTAAAGAGCATACAAATTGATAAGACCAAGATCATGAGACAGCTCGATACCAATTTTCAGATATGAATAAAGAAAAACATGATCGTTATCCACTTCATATAAATGCAAAGCTAAAAGTTTTCTGCACAACCATCACTTAGGAATAATTGCCACGTTCCCTCCCTCCCTCTCACACACACACAGCAAGAAAAATCATGTACCGTTTATGTTTAACCCCACTTACTCAATTTAAGATCAGAACTTTAAGCACCGTGACCAGAAAAAAATAAACCATGAAACCAACAAGCTCACAAGTAGAAAGGATATCACATACATAGAGTTTGTCAACCATGTGCAAGATGTATATACTCTACTACATACGTCGTATCTAACAATCATGTGCAAGTATGGACATACAAATAAATATGTAAGCATGTGTACTTATCATTCAGATCCTAAAGAAAGTAATCACCAAGATTCAGATATTTTTCCTTTTTTTCTTTTTTCTTTTCCTTTTTTTGGTTTGGAATTCAGGTCTTGGTTTAAACTTTAAAGGTTACAAAATCTCCCAAAGAGATTTACAATATAAGGAGGAAAGGGAACAATCAAAAGGCGTATCATAGATAATATACCAAAAGTAGTTTCTATCTACCCCTTTAAAAGATTAGTTTTCCATTTTAAAACTATAAAACTTACTTATAATGCCTCCTTACAAGAACTACCTAAGTTTTTAACATTCCACGTACATATTTAACTATCGTCGTCAAAATCTGTGAATGCTAATCGTTTACCTGCAACTATACATGCATAATTACATATAAATAACATACACAAATATCCTGTTTCATGAGATCAACTATATGCCTAGTAAAGGAAATACATAACCAACTTACATCCTCATCAGTACAACTTGGTTCAGCATAATAAAACTATAGTATATTGCGAACAAAAGAAAGAAATTCATAATACCGGCAGCAAAGAGAAGGCCATAAACCGCTATGATTAGTGAACCAATCATACAGGATTGCGATATTAGACTTCCACGTCAGATACTTCTCACCAAACTTGCAACTCTTCTCCCCACCTTCACTACTAGATCCACTAAGAGCCCCTTCTCTTTTGTCTACCTTTTCTCTTACAGAACTCTGGGTAACTACCATGTTGGTTTGTAGATGGATCAAATCTATACAATAAACAGAAGCAAGAGCCAGCAAATGTTGTAATGGCTCAAAATGGATATATATCCTCAAACAACTTTATTAAGTTGAAATGACCAAAAATGAGAAGATAGCTGCCGTGATTATTTCATGCTCTTGGATCCTTGTGGAATGCAATGACCTCCTCATGTGATGTGAGAAAAATATTAGGGAAAGTACTGTCTGGATACACAACTGAGACGAAGAAGAAACTATAAAGCCTTCACACAAAATACTTTGCAAGACACGAAAAGTATTCTTTGGTTTAATAAGTCTATGGCAACCTACAATCATCCTGAATTGACCTTCCATGAATAATTTGAACAATTTTTGTTCTTTTGACCCTCCACTGAATAATTTGAACAATTTTTGTTCTTTTTGCAAGTATTCATTAAAATATTTTTATGAAAGTTTTCAAAATTGGAACATAACACACTTTTTAAGAAAATAAAGGAAAATGAAAACTTCATTTGACTATGTGAATTCTAATTGTTTATGCTCTGAGGAGTATAATTGAAGAAAAAATGTTATTCCTTCGTTTCATTTTATGTGGCAATGTTTGACTAGGTACGGAGTTTAAGAAAGGAAGGAAGACTAATGAAACTTGCAGTCTTACGCATGACATGACACTTTTGTGGCTAAAAAAGCTTGTCATTAATGGTAAAATGAGAAGTTTAAAATTAAATCATAATAAAAGGTGCCATTCTTTTTCAACAAACTAAAAAGAAAGAAGTTACATAAAATGGAACAGAGGGACTAGTATTTGTATAAAGGTATGGAGGCATGCATTTATGCAATTTTGACAAATTCTTAGAAATTTTCATGACACTTCTTAAGCGAAAAATACAAAATAAAAAAAGTGAAGCCTCGCATAGTAAAGGAAAGGAAAGAAAAAGCGGAAAAAAGAAAGATTGAAGGCTCAAAATATCTTTTACTAGACACTACGGAAACGAAAAAGGCAAAATACCTATGACATGAGTTTACTTGTTAGATCCACCAAAACCGTAGAACTATTGGAAAATGAAATGAACTCGAATTTGAAAATTCAATAGTTAACTGATGAGGCCAGCCTTATCAAGTAAAACCATTAAAAAAAATTATAAGGAAAACCATCAATACATCCAAATGAAGCTAAAATTGTATTATATTAGAGGTAAAAGATAACTTATTTAGAAAGATTTGATAAAAATGTTAGCAGTCCTTGAGTCTTAAACCGAACCAACCAAAAATAGAAATAACGATAAGAAAATCCAATATTAGTAATGATAGATAACACCCAGTCAGTCAGCATATCAAAGAAAAGTAACTAAGATCGGAAGATGAAAACAAAGATGATATCATTACTTATCAAGGGGGGAAAATCTTTATTTATCAAGGATGTAAAACTCATAACCTTCAAAATAGTTATTGAAGATACACAATGTAGCGAAAAAACACGGCTTCGGCTTTTATGATGAAATGCCATTAGCAAATAAAGAATGAAAAGCGAGAGTGTCCATCTATAGATATATAACATGAAAGAGTGATTAGGTGAGAAAGATTATCACTAAAATCAAGCACAAGAAAGAACCTGAAATTACTTGCAAAGGCACAAATGATGGGAGAGGCGGATGCAGGAGGCGAAAAGAAGAAGAGATGGAAATAAGGGTTTCACCGTGTATAATTAGAGGACGAATTTACCCCTAAATGTGGAGTCATTATATTAATGAACTGCGGATACTTCCAAAAAGCGAGCAGTTCAACGAATAATTAATTGGATTAACTCCAGAGTTAAAATAAGTCAAATATCACCCTTCATTAAACCTCTACTAAAAGGCAGGTTGCATTTCCACATTGTTGTAAGCACTACTTTAGCAATTTCGGAAGCAACATTTACCATCTATGTTACTACCCTATTTTACAATGGTTGAAGCAATTGTTGCCTCAAATTTCATCTCAGCTTAAGAAACAAGATACCAATAACCTTTATCAGTAATTTCATTAATTTAAGCCCTTCCTCTTGGAAAATTGTAGTTTCCTAGATAGATATAGAGCTACATTAAAGCCAAGTCAAAGAAATCAGCAGGTCAAAACTCTAAAGGAAATCGGCAACAGCACAACAATCTAGTGAAATAGCTGACATATCTCATAGACCAAATCATTAGCCATGCAAGCAAAAACTAGCAAAACATAGATCTCGCCCGACAGAGTGGTACAAATAATTGAAGCATGGTCCAGCAACAACAAACATCCCTAAGTTATATTCATACAGTCAACCTCAAGTGTGAACACATCAATAAAGTGTGACACCACATATCAAGGTATATAGTAGGCCTATTTACTTCTAATAAGGGGTAATTTATTAAACAAAGTAAGAAACTGCCAGCAAAAAAGGAGATGTTAGCAGTTGATAATTACGGACGGTTACAAAAACTCAGTTACTATAGTGATTGTATTGGATTAAGGAAATCAAACATAGGATCTTGTCATATATACTAACAAGACAGACAAGTTCGGCAAAGATCCAAATTACTACTGACATAAATTTTTCTTAATCGACATAAGGAAAACTACCCACAATCCACTATGGATGACAGTTCAAAATTGGTGTAGGCAGTGTTTGACAGCTATCGCTTCATAGCTTTAGAGAAGTGTGCTTCAATCAATGATGCGCAAAATGATCCCAATGAGAAACGGCCAATTATTTTAATAGTGTTTTTAAGGATTTGGATTAATATCTGCATTATTGTATATTACATGTTGAAAACATGAAATTAGTGACTTTGGCCTAGAGGTAACTGGTAAGAGTGCAACACCTCACGAGTTTGAACCTTGTTGCAGACAAAAGCCTGGAATTTCAATGGAGAAGAGTAGAGGGACAGGCTCATCATTGCCCTCACGAGTTTCTCAATTATAAAAAAAAAACTTGAAATTTGATTATTATAGGACCAAATTTACATATGTTCTACTAACTTTTAATTTTCCGTAAGTTGTGTGCTTCACTTCAAAGAAATGTTAACTTCATGTCTCGCTTAGTTGCATGAATTTTTTTCGATTTTACTTTTTAAGAACACCGGGGCCACACTTATGAGCAGATTACAAATTAATTATACCTTCTCATTCAATTTTGTTTTTTGAAAAAATGAGCAGCACAGTCATTATAACACAAACAACAGGGCAATGTGCAAGCTTCTTCATAAATAACCGTCATACGAGTTGAATACAACAGCTAAGATTTTCACGCTGATGCGTTAAATCATAGACCAGGAGTATCAAATATCACCGTAAACCCTAGCAAAACAGAGTCCCGTACACATAGTAGACACACACCTAGGGTTCCAAAAGTACCAAACCAAAACACAGAGGTTCTCGAAATTTACAACACACAAAATGAGCGGTTTAATAGGAAATATGTATACCTGCAAGAGAGGGAAGGCCAAACGAGGTTGTGATTAGCGAACCAGTCGTAGAGAACAGGGACGAGTGACTTCCACTGAACATATTTCTCGTCGATAGCATTAGCAGCAGCTTTCTTATCAGTAATACTACCTCTCATCCTATGGGGCTCCTTATCTCTTTCCTCTTTGGTTTTGGTTGAAGAACCCTTTGGCCTCCCACGCTTCTTTGGCTGAGAAGAAGGAGTTGTTTCCATGGCAGAAATTTTTTGGGGGGAAAGTTAAAAACCCTTAGAAGAAAACCCTTGGAACAGAACTTGGACCTACAAATTATAAACAACAGTAATGAATAGTGACGGTTGAAAGTTAGAAAGGGTTTTTATAGGAAAATGAAATGAAAAATGGCAGCAACAGAAATAAAACCTGATAGACTCTGCCTTTTTCTCCTCGGTCTCTCTCTTGGATCTAATTATGGAAAGGTATTTGATTTTTGAAACACAAAATTGCATTTGCTCCACCTTTCCCTCTCTTCTTCTCTATAAATAAATGAGTTTCAGGACAATAATAATGTCTCAGTCTCAAAATTAATAGAAATTAACTATAAGTGTCTTTTCTATTTATATATCCCAAAACAAAATATCGTACTAGAAAATGGAAGCAGAGACGACAACAACAATAACAGCCAGTAAATTCTTGCTACTGGGGTTTGGGGAGGTTAGTATGTACGCATAGCTTACCCTATCCCGAAGGAGTATAGAGGTTGTTTCCTCAGAAGTAGAGACTACTAATTAATTTTATAGTTTAAAAAATACAACAACAAACAACAACAACGAAACTAGTATATTCCCATAAATGGAGTCTTAGGAGGATAGTATATACGCAAACCTTACCCCTACATTAAAAAATACATATAATTAATTTAATAAATAATTATAATGGTTAATAAAATAAGTATCCATTATGTTTTCAACAAGTTGGTTATATTCAAGGAATCAAGAGGATTCTTTAAAGAATCCCAATGTAAAATTTTCTATCAAACGATATATATATATATATATTTTAAATTCTATTGACAGAGTTTAAATCTTTCACCTCTAACTACGAAAGGTAAAAAGCTTACCAAATGGGCTAACCCTCAATCCCAGCCAAAGGAATTTACTATGTGAATAGAGTGAGAAGGGACTCATATAATTATTTAGCTCTTGGGAGACATCCCAATGCATTAGAAGTGCGATTGGCTTGGGGCTATTCTCACTCCTTATTTTTAATCTAAAATGAAATAGACTTTGATTGTAAGTTAGGGTATTATCACTTTTAGCCAGAGCCAGAAACTATTTATATCTGACAGTCAAAAAAATATATATAATTTATATACTTTTTATATATAACATATAGAATGTATATATATACAAAAAAATATATAAAGTTTATACATTTTTTTGGCTATTATTTTTACCACGGCTATACTATGTCATTTTTCCTTATAAATTTGTAACCGTTTTTGGAGGGAAGGAAATGAATATGGAATTTCTTCTCGTTACGTGGTAGAAGGCTACAACAAGGCATTCAAATATTTCAAATGGTTTATTTCCACACTTCGAGTTTTTGAAAGATTTGAAAAACTAAATATGGGAATCTTCAATAAAAAGAAATTTAATCTTTTTTTCTCCAAATATAATTCAAACAAACAAAAGGGCAGAGCAGCCCGGTGCACTAAGCTCCCGCTATGTGCTGGGTTTCGAGAAGGGCCGGACCACAAGGGTCTATTATACACAAACAAACACTTTTGCGAAAACTCAAACAAATGTGACTTTGCAAGCTCACTTTTTCAGAACATCTTAAGATTTAGAAGACTCAAAATGGACATAAAAGAGAAAACCCTCGGCTTCAAGAAGGCAGAGAGGGTGTTTTCGAAAGACTCTCGGCTAAGGAAAGGCAGCAGCAATTACACCAGTTATAAAACTGGAGCAAAAATACAAAGATACAAAAATTAAAACTGAGATCCCTTACAGGAAAAGAAAAAAAAAAAAGAAAACAGAAGTCCTGATTGTCGTTCAGTTCCCTAACTCTCAGACTACTCAAGGAGGTGACAATCTGTTATAGTTCTAGAACAGTCAAAATGGCATTCATTTTGTTGAATACAAAATCTCGTTTCTATCCATGTCTGCAAATCAAACATACACGCCTGACGCAAGCAGCAAGAACAATGATCCAAAACCCTGCATCAGGTTGAGATGGGGGGATCAGTTATCCAATACAGAAAGGACAAATCAAATCACAATTGTGAGTTTGCGACATACCAAGAAAACAGATGCTACTGCCCCACTCGTGAGCTCTTTTGCAAGGCTGCGATTCTTCCTTGAAGTAGCTTCATAGCTGTTACACATTTATAGCTTTGTTACAAAGACAAAAAGGCAAGAGAACCTGTAGAATGGAGAACCTCACTAATGCGGCAAACTGATGCTCTTTAATCCATAACCCAGTTATGAGTAACTCCCTGGAATTACTCATTAAAGAGGATATATTTCATGGCCACTAATAGGTTTGATTATACAACACAATCATAGGACAAAATCTGTTTCATATTTTTCATATTTTTAAGTGCTTTCATTTTTTAAAGATGGTTAGAAGTATTTCAGTATTCTCAACCAGAAACAAGCTTTACGCAAATATATTTTTTTCCAATGCTTAACCTGCTATGTTGTACAAGGATTTGGAGACATGAGCGTCAAGCACTGTAACCAAGTTAAATAGGAAGACAAGGAAATGCTTATCTAAAAAATAACATGATCATCTAAGAATCTTGGGTTTTTGAGGAAAGCAACCTCATAATCAAATATTGCTAGAAGGGAAGTCCTTACACCTCTTCTAGCTTGCTCAATAGTAATGTAAAAGAATTAAAGAAGTTCTGTACCACGTTCTCACATGTCATATCTTCATTTTGAAAAGGTGCAACTTTAATCTGTATCAACTGTTGAAAAGTGATCAAAAAGGAAGGAAATAGTACTAAAGCAGAAAAGTCTATGTAATATTGTTGTATACTCCAAAATCAGACTAACATGTATCAAGTGAAGTACAAGCAGAGCTTACGATTTCCTTAGGATAAGCCCCACACCATAGAGACATTTTCTAAAAATGAAAATAAAGGTAAGGCCAAATGACTTTCCTGCATTTATTTTCCAGACAAGGACTGGAAAATCTAGTTTTTTTAATAAGGTAAAAGGTGGACAGAAAACTCAACTGAGTTACAACCAGAAAATCTAGTTTTCAGTATATATATAGTCCATTCAATCCCTTAAGAAGGACACAAACTGTTAAAATATCACTTGTGAAGGCACATTTCATCTACCCTCCCAACCATTTGCTACTCTACCGCTTCCACTTCAAGGCTCCTAGTCAACCCTTCTTTTTTGCTTTTTCCCCCCTTCTGATGGCTAAGAGAATTTATTAAGAACACACCGAGGCGGTGCCAACAAAGTGAACAGAAAACATCCAGTATACAGTGAAGTATACAACCCAAAACCCCAAAAAAGAGAAAGATTGACCAAGTCTTAAGCCATTAACAATCATGCTGAGTAACAATTGCTCTGAATAGGATAAAATTGGCCTAGCGATCAATGAAAAGGGTTGACAACCATGACGTCTCGGGTCTTTATCAAAAAATTTAAAAAATTATGAGGCCTCATGTTCAAATCCCAGCGGAGACAAAAACACTAGGTGATTTCTTTCCATTTGTCAAGCCTTGGTGGACAAAGATACCCGGTATCTGTGCCGGTGGGAGGTAGCAGGTATCTTGTGGATTAGTTGAGGTACGCACAAGCTGATCCGAAGTCCGAACACCACGGTCATCAAAAAAATAAAGATAAACCCATACCAAAATCCCTTCCGATAATCTCATCACATCCTTTCATTACAATCTCACTATAATTGTCTGAGAGAACCAAGTTACCCCCTAAAGGCAAGCAACAAAGAATAGCAAGAATGAGGATCCCATAGGTTACAAGTTATTATGGAGAATATTTTGCTCGAGTATATACAAACCTCGCTTTAGGATGATGTGGTGCGGCAGGTGAGTCTACATTCACGTTGTAAAGAAAAATTTCACAACCATAACACTCCTTGAAGACTTTTGAACCGTGTAAAAGGAGGAACAAACAAAGAATGTTTCCAATGTCTAGCTACATCGAGATTGTAAGGATATCCATGTGAATGCTAAATGGAAGTTCATGTGACTTGTAAAATTTCAAGTCATCCAGAAAGCACATCATCATCAAGTTGCTATCATCAGATCAGATATCTGAAACACCCATAATCCTCCCCCTCCAACAATGTTGCTCAAGGAAGGATGAGCAAGATGCAACCAATGAAGGCTCCTTTTTGTATGGCGTAAAATGTTTTCATAGAAAATAAGGTACATGTTTTACTGTTTTTTTTTTTTGGATAAGGTGGTACATGTTTTACTGTTATAAGTTGCTATCAGAACTTAAGCAAACTCTAATATTACCATCCCTAACTGGATGGAAGCGCCTTTGGAGGAACAAAGCCCCTTTGACGGTGGAATGTTTAACATGGTTGGTGGTCCAAGGAGCATGTCCAACTCAAGATAATCTCCAGAGAAGAGGGTTAAACCTTTGCAGTAGATGTTCACTGTGTGAAAGGCAGATTGAGGATCTCAACCACCTTTTCATTCACTGCTCCTTCACCAAACAGATATGCAACTTTATTCTAAGCATTGTTGGGGTTAACTGGTCAATGCCGAGGACAACTAAAGTGTTACTGCAATGCTGGTCAAGGAAGGGGCTAGGAAAGGTAAAGATGAAAACTTGGAACGCACTTCCTGCAGCAGTCTGGTGGACCATTTGGAAGGAAAGGAATGCAATAATTTTTTAAAGCAAATGTGAATCTGAAATTATCATGAAGTACATATGTATTTCTCTACTTTTTTTTTAGAGTAACATGGCAATTGCCAATGATATTGAGGCCATGATAGAATCGTTAAGCTAGCTACACGACGTGTAATGATGTTGCCCCCGTACATTTACAGCACTCAGTGTCTCACTTCCCCAGACCCGCGCACAGCGGGAGTTTAGTGCACGGGCTGCCCTTTACTGTCTCACTTGTTGCTGGATATCAATAATACTTATCTTAATGATCAAAAAAAGAGTTACAAATTTTGCCTGGGGTAGTTCATTACTTGAATTATATAGACAGATTAAGCAAAATAATAATAATTCAGGAATCAGAAAAAGATAACCAACAATTGAAGCATGTATGAATCAGATCGAGCACTTACATGAGGAAAGAAGCCGTTACGACAAGACCAATAGCGAGCATGAACACGGCTAGAGTTGGGTACAACGACTCAGGGACTGGGCTAGAGATCGGTTTTGCTGATTGAGACTTCCCAAAATAAATTCCGAAAAAAATAATCAAAATCTATAACAAACTCAATGAAATGAAACCATGATAAAACTAAAAACAATGAAGTGAAGTTCATACCATTTCTGAAACCAATAATAAGGAGTCAGATCTTCTCGACCGGACTCGTCTGTAGATTACTCCGAACTCCCAAGTCTTTGTTTTTCTCTCCTTGGTACTGAGAACGGAATTTATACATTTGAGAGCGACCATAAACCCATAAGTCGCATTCTTTAAATGCGTTTTATGAATCGCATTTTCATATAAGTCGCATTAGGCGAACGATCTTTAAAAGTCTCATTCGCCAATGTGCTTTCTTTGAAATGCTTATATCTTTTTTTTTGTTTTCCACACGATGCCCATTACTTACATTGGAGCCCGGCTATATCCGAATTCGCGTTGCGTGGGACCCCATTCGAGAGAAGCGTTTCCTACCAAGGATTTTTCCATACCCAAGGCTCGAACTCGAGACCTCTGGTTAAGGTAAGAGTAGTCTCATCCATTGCACCACATTCTTTGGTAGTCAATCCTTATATCACTTTATTTGAAATGCTGATAAATTCAATATGTAAGTAGCGCTCGATTAATGCACTTTATAAAACGCATTCCGACAATACGATATATAATTTCAAACCGATTTATAAGTTTGCTGAATACTTTTATTAGTTATTGTCTCTAAATATGATTTACAAGTCGACAATACGAGTTATAAAATCGATTTATAAGTTAGCTTCAATGAATGTGTTTTATAAATCGTCGTCTCTGAATGCGCTTTACAAATCGTATGCAGCTAATGCTATTTATAAATCGCATTTTGTTAAATTATAGGTCACATTCGACTAATACGTTTATAGTTTTAAAGAATGCGATTTATGGCCTCCAACATCTTACCGATTTTTTGCATTTCTATTTTTGACTTTTATATTAGTTATTTACTATGTAAATATTTCTAAATTTTCTTTTAAATGTTTCTAGATAATAATAAAAAATAATAAGTGTGACTTAACTCCTATGACGGTAACCCCTGTATGATCATTGATTGTCAATTCTACTCGTCTAGCCATAAAATTTTGGCAACAAACTTTCAAATACCCTTCTTCAACTTCAAATCTTACTTTTTTTCAAATCCCAATCAAATTATGTCCTTTAATTTGTCCACTTATAAATCCATTGATGCATGTGTACTCAATATTTGCTCTATCAGTTGCGTCTTTTAAGACATTAGTAAATATAGGAGTCACGCTATATTGAAGAATAACTCATTAATTTGTCTAGGAAAAATGAAAATGGAGAAGGGGAGGAAAACTAAGGAATGTTTGTATTAGCGATATAAATAGTATTTCAACAAATGCGACTTATAGACCACATTCAACAAAATACAATTTTTAAATCGATTTTTGATATGCGATTATAAATCAACTAATGAATTTGTCTACGCTTCGAGCGGTTATAAAAAAACTATTAGTAAATTTAGAATTAATTTTTTTTATAAGTTTATTCATTATAGAATAGATAATTTTTCTTGTATGTGCATACAAATGTAATTTATTATATGTATTAATTACATAGATAATATTTTTATTGGAATTACATATTATACGAACTGCATTTTTCATTATCGAATTTACAAATCAGCAAAGAAAATTATCATTTCTAAATATGTATGTATATGTTTTATTTTGTTGAGAAAAAAATGAAACATCAAATGAAAACTAAAGAAACTAAAAACATCAAAAGCCAAACTGTCAACTTATTGTTAGTTATATTCATGAAATTTCAGGAATTGTTTTTGCCAAATGAACATGATAATCTTACATATAATCGTCATAGAAAACATATCTGAAGCGGAATTCATTATCTTGAAGCGGAAGCGTTAATTGAAATTGGTTTCTCGCCCCTTGACCTAGCTTTCGTTACCGTCGACTTTAGTGATGGAAGAGAGAATAAAATACGGTAACCCTAATGGGTGGGGAGATGACCAATTTATAGAGGTTCTTATTTAATCCGGTACGTCCATCAAGTAACCGATCGGACAGATGAGATTTGCTCATTAATTAAATATAATTATGGGCCTAATCTTATTGGGCCACCAATAAATTAACGTAAAAAAATCTTACATTCTCCCACTTGGCCCAATAACCACATAATATTAATATTTAATATAGGAACATTAGTTGCGCATAAACAAATCTCTTCTATAATGTCCATCATAAATACCATAATACGATAAACTACTAAGTGTGAGTTATGGCGGCTATATATAATTTATCTACATACTCCCTTCCATATACTACAACATTAGCTACTTATCGTATCAGGTCCATAAGCTATAAAATATTATGGTCCACAATAATATCTCATTGAAACTTATCCTGTAACATCTCAAAACAATAATGTGTACACCATTATGAGAAACAGGAAATCACTAATGCATATCAAAAACATATAAATGAGCTCAGAGTGTCAAAACATCATAAATACATCAATCATAAATACAGCCAAGACCTATTCTATGTACATGTTCTTTAAATATCTTTGGTTGTAAACCTTTCATTAATGGATCTGCAATCATGAGATTAGTTCTAATATGCTTAAGTGACACTCTTTGTTTCTGAACTTCCTCCTTGATGGTAAAGTACTTTAATTCCATATGTTTGACACCTTTGGAGTATTTATCGTTCTTGGAGAAGAATACTGCTGCAGAATTATCACAGTAAATTTTCAGCGGCTTGGTAATGGTGTCGACAACCCCAAGTCCTAAAATAAAGTTTTGCAGCCATAATGCATTAATTGTGGCCTCAAAACATGCCACAAATTCTGCTTCCATCGTGTATGTAAAAATGACAGACTGTTTGGCACTCTTCCACGATGTTGCTCCTTCAGCTAATTGGAACAAATAACCAAACGTGGATTTGCAAGTGTCAATACATCCAGCGAAATCTGAATCCGAGTATCCAACAACTTCCAAATGCTTGGACCTCCTATACATGAGCATGTAATCCTTCGTTCCTTTCAGGTACCTCAAAACTTTCTTTGCAGCTTTCCAATGATCAATTCCTGGGTTACTCTGATATCTTCCCAACATTCCAGCCGCAAAACTAATATCCGGTCTTGTGCAAGTCTGAGTATACATCAGACTACCAACAATAGAAGAGTAAGGAATTGATTCCATTTCTTTTTTGCTCTACATCATTATTCGGGCATTGCATGAGACTAAATTTGTCCACTTTTTGAATTGGAACAATTCCAGCTGAACAATTATTCATATTAAATCTCTCTAGAATTCTTTCGATATAGTCTTTCTGAGACAATCCTAATAATCCTTGTGATCTATCACAGAATATTTCTATTCCTATCACATAGGATGTCTCACCCATATCTTTCATTTCAAAATTCTTAGAGAGAAAATCTCTAATCTCACGCAATATGCCTAAATCATTAGCAGCAAGTAGAGCATCATCAACATATAGGACTAAAAATATAAACTTACTCGCACTGATCTTTTGGTATATACACCGACCAACGGTATTTTCCACAAATCCAAAAGATGTTATGGTATCATTAAACTTTATATACCATTGTCGTGAAGTTTGTTTAAATCCATATATTGACTTCTTCAGTTTACATATCATTTGACATTTTCCTTTAATTTCGAAACCCTCTGGTTGGGCCATATAAACTTCCTCCTCGAGATCTTCATTAAGAAAAGCAGTTTTCACATCCATTGGGTGTAACTCTAAATCATAATGAGCCACCAAAGCCATAATAATTCTTAACGAGTCTTTCTTTGAGACCGGTGAAAGTGCCTCTTTATAATCAATGCCTCCTTTCTGAGTATAACCATTAGCAACAAGTCTGGCTTTGTATCTCTCAATATTGCCATTTGAATCGCGCTTGGTCTTAAAGACCCATCTACACCCGATTCTTTTAGAACTTTCTGGCAATTCAATGAGATCCCAGACTTTATTGTATTCCATGAATTTTAACTCTTCCTGCATGGCATCAATCTACTTGTCAGACTCATTACTTTCTATGGCTTGTGAAAATGAAACCGGATCCTTATTAAGACCAATGCCAAAATCTGACTCTTGCAAATAAACCACGTAATCATCCGAAATAGCTGATTTTCTAATTCTTTGATATTTTCTTAATAGAATTTCTTGTGTTTCATTTGTGTCGGATATTTGTGAGTTAGTTTCTTCATGAAGTGTCCCATCCAAATATTGTTCGGTGTTGTCAAAGTGTTCTTCAATAACTGGAACAATATTTGGTATTTGTGTGGAAGTAGGCACATTTTTGGATAATAAAATATTAACCCTCACCTCTTTAATTTCCACACTTTGATTTTCAACACTTCCACTAACCTCATCATTCTCAATGAATCTTGCATTACTGGTTTCAACAATTCTCGAACTATGGTTTGGACAGTAAAACACATACCCTTTGGATTTCTCTGGTTAACCAATAAAGTAACCACTTACTGTTCGAGAATCTAATTTCTTTTCTTGTGGATTATAGACTTTAGCTTCCGCTGGGCAACCCCAAACATGTAGGTGACTTAAACTAGGTTTCCTTCCTGTCCACAGTTCAAAAGGGGTCTTTGGAACTGGCTTACTAGGAACCCTGTTTAATAAATATATAGCGGTTTTAAGAGCATACATCCACAATAATTTGGGTAATGAGGAATTACTTATCATGCTCCGAACCATATCCATAAGTGTTCAATTACGCCTTTCTGCAACACCATTTTGTTGAGGTATTCCTGACATAGTATAATGTGCACATATGCCACATTCCTCGAGGAACTTTACAAATGGACCTGGACATTGTCCTGACTCATTATATTTTCCATAATATTCACCAACTCTATCTGACCTAATAATTTTCACCTTTTTATTTAATTGCCTTTCAACCTTAGTAACAAACACCTTGAGAGTATCTGCTGTTTGAGATTTTTCTTTCAGCAAATAAATGTATACATAACGTGAAAAATCATCGATAAAAGTGATAAAATATTTCTCTTCACCAAAAGATGGAACATCAGAGGGTCCACAAATATCGGTGCATATAATTTCAAGAAGTGGGGTGCTTCTTGTGGCACCTTTATTACTATTCTTGGTTTGCTTTCCCTTAATGCAATCCAAACATATAGTAAAATTGGTAAAATTTAGGTTTGGAAGAATCTCATTCTTTACTAATCTTTCTAACCTTTCTTTGGATATATGACC